ATACATATAAAATATATTATATATATTATATATAATATATTTTCTTTTTTATTGATTTCAGAGAGGAGGGAAGAGAGAGAAACACCAATGATGAGAATCATTGATCAGCTGCCTCCTGCACGCCCCCTACTGAGGATGGAGCCCACAGCCCAGGCATGTGCCCTTGACCAGAATCGAACCTGGGACCCTTCAGTCCACAGGCGGACCTCGACGCTCTATCCACTGAGCCAAACCAGCCAAGCCTTTGCCTTTATTTTTAGTAATAATTCTGTAGATTGCACCACACTCCTTCACATTTTTATCCCCTTGGAGTCCCACGACAGCCCAGAGGGACTAACATGGTATCACCATTTGATGGGGAAGGAAGTGAGCCTGGGAAGCGGTGGGAAGAGTCCTGCCTCAGGGTCTTAGGCTGAACTCGTTGGGCCTGCTTTGGGGCGCATTTGCAAAATTTAAGGGAGGGTGGATGAGGGTAGTGTCTTATATCGCTGGGCTGGTGTCGACCTCAGTGCCTGGTAGGTATCCAGAATTTACAATGAGGAGCCTGGTTTGGGGACTCCTGCTGGGGCAGCCTTCTGACTCTCAGTGCTCTGAGCATGGTCCTGCCCTGATTCTGATCATCAATACTGGGTAATTTTCATCCAACAAAGATTTTCACATAAAATGGCTTTTATCAGACATCCTCATACACTTTTGGTGGAAGCTAAATAAGCACAAATTTCCTGAAGGAAATCTGGCAATGTATATTAGGAATATGAAGATAGATATTTACCCAGTAATTCCACATCTGATCATTTATCACAAGAAAATAATCAGAGCTGTGCACAAAGACTTAAACTGCAAGTTATGCCCTAGCCAGTTTGGCTCAGTGGATAGAGAGAGCATCGGCCTGTGTACTGAAGGGTCCTGGTTCAATTCTGGTCAGGGGCACAGGCCTGGGTTGCGAGCTTGATCCCCAGTAGGGGGTGTACAGGAGGCAACCGATTAATATTTTAAACTGCAAGTTTTTCTTAAATTTATTGGGGTAATTTTGGATAATAACATATATTTTAGGTGTACAACTTTATAATATAACATCTGTATACTCTATTGTGTGCTCACCCTTAAAGTATTTTTAAAAATATTTTATAGAGAGGCAAAGCAGCTCTTTGTTCTCGGGGGAACTTGATGTGCAAAAACTATACCATGTTTGCTGATTGTTTTATATGATTGGCCTTTTTTGTTCTGATAATTCCTTTCAAGCATGTGTAATAGGACGTAAAAATAGGACCCCCTTCTTGTCTCCGTTTTGGCTGAACCCCCAAGTCAATAATTGCTAATTACTCCCACATTATAAAGTGAGGTACAAGACCACCAAAGCATAACTTGTGAAGGAGGTGTCTAGAAACCAGTGCATGACATCCAGTCTATGAAAGAGTTGGAGAGGATGAGAAGGAATTCTGGTAGAATATGTGGCAATAGTTGTCAATGTGCTCTGAGCCCACACTCATCTCATGTCTAGAGAAAGGCAGGCCTCAGCAGGGCTACTTAGAGAGCTTGGTCTGTATCCCTCCAGACTGGCACCCAAAACAGGCTGCTGTGCAATTTGTGCTGAGAAATTCAAGGTGGATGGTCAGATAACTGATCTGATAGTTGAGCAAAGAGACATTGATGCTTTGGAGAGGTCTTTCATGTCCAGTTTTTCATGACAAAGAATGTCTGAGTATCTGCCATGTGAGTGTTTTCCATGCATGAACAATAGTCTTAGACCCCATCCCAGGGGATTCTGGAGGGCTGGAGTGACACTCCAAGAGAGCTGACCACTAGATTCTTAGAGGCTCAGGGAGAAGAGTTCAACAGTCCAGACAGAGAGGTACATTTACCCACATCAAGAGATTCCAAGAAATAAGGTGGGAAGGGCTTCCAAAACTCCCACAGAGAATGGGTCAGCACTAAATACTTACCAAGTGTACAAAGCACTGATGCCAACTCACAACAGTATCAGACAAAAAAAAATTCTACTCCTTACCTCTCCTTTTCACCACCATTCCCAAACCCTGCAGGAGCCAGAGGCATCCTAGAGTGGGGAAGGAGGAGCAAGAAAATAAAGAAGCAAGGCACAGCCCGTTCACCATCGGGTGATGGGAGCCTGACAGCCAGGGGAGGGACCGAGAGGTCAGCCGGTCCTGCCCCCTCGCTGGCCCCACCCCCGCCACGGGTCGCCCTCTGTGTGTGGTGCAACCGGCAGGATGGGGGCCTTGGCCTGGCACCACCTGCATCCTCTGCCACCCACCCCCAGTCCCCATTCGCCATGGGGCGATGGGAGCCTGCAGGACAGTGAAAGGGACCAAGAAGTGGTCAGTGCACCTTATAGTGACTGGTCGAGCGGTTATTCTGGTTGTTCTGCCATTATGGTCACTGGGCTTTATTATATAGGATATTCATGGGCTTTAAAAATATATATATAAGGATGTGATAGATTTCTTAAACTAATACAATTGCTAATATATTTAAATGAGTTAACATGTTTGACCAAAAAATAAATGCTTGCTGAGAACATGAATTTTGTATCCATTTATTATCCAGTTGAATAACAAACTTGCAAATCATAAATGTATATTATGTAGTAAAACAAAGACTACACTGAAATAGACCTCAGTATCTTTATATATTTCCTAGAAATTAAATATATGCACTCTATTATATGTCTTTAAAAAGTTCCAGGATTTTTTCTTTTTTCCATTTGGAAGCCAAATTAAAAGTTAACTCTAATTCTGTATATTTTGGTGGAGCATTACTACTGTACAATTCCAAATGACAGAGTAGGCAGATTAAGAAATGTAGACACTCTAAGGACCAGCTTTTGGAGCTTTCTTCAAAAAGTCAGGAAAATGCATACCATAATTTCTGAGTAACAACCCACTGGTTAAGAATCATGAACCACCACTGCGCCTGCGCACAGCGCCGGGGTTCAGGCTGCAGCGCCAGAGCACATGCTTGCGCATAACTGGGGCCAACCGCTCCCCACCGGCGGCCCTTTCAAGCAAGAGCGACAGGGCAGAGGAAACAAAAGAATCATGAACCAAACTTTTGGTTCAATTCTCTTCCTAGATGATTTCAAGATATATATTTTAAGTGTATGAAAACTCTAAGACTCTCAGGATTCCTGATTTACCAAATATAACAAATCCAGAGGTTAGAAGAATTGAAATCTATCCTTAAATATTTCCATTATTCTGAAGTTGTGAATTATAATGGTTGTGCCTTTAAATATTTATTTGTGTGCTTTAGTCGTAGAGTGATTTTAAATACTATCATTTTACAATTCAATAACTATGATTCTTCACCATAATCAAAGTGGTATGAAAATAACCAGATACAGCCCCGGCAGGTGGGTTGAGCATAGTTCCATGTACCAACAGGTCGCCGGTTCTATTCCCAGTCTGGGCACATGCCCAGGTTGTGGGCTTGAACCCCAATAAGGAGTGTGCAGGAAGCAGCTGATTGAAGTTTCTCTCTCACATCAATGTTTCTCTCCCTCTCCCTTCCTCTTTCCCTAAATCAATAAAAACACTTTAAAAAATAGATACACTATGCATAGTTTGCTGTTATTTGCCATCTATCATGGTTTGCTTATAATAGATGTCCTTGCAACCAAACAACTAACTATAAGCTAGCTAATGAATATTTTAAATGATTTTAGATTAGCCTAGATCAATTTAATATCAAAAATATATTTAATAGTTAATCAGCTATTAAAATTTATAAGCAATGTAAAAATATGAATTACCTTTCCCAACTCTGTCTTCTGCTAACCCAAGGACAATCCGCCACAATACTGGGGCTACATGTCTGAGTACGGGCCTTGCAAGTAGCACCCCCACCAAGTTCCCTTGGCCCCATGAGTGGGACAGATCATCTAAAATAAAACCAGTGTCATGCAATGCCATTGAAAAGAAAGTTTTAAAGAGAATTGTCATTTGGGAAGGGGCTCCCTAGTGCCTACAAAATAAAAGCCCCAAATTCTTAGCCTGGTCTTAAGATTATACCCTAGTTGACCTTTCCAGACTTAGCTACTCCTATCACTACAAGAATGTACCCTTGAAGCTAGACAGCTTGCTCTTTATTGGGTATGCTTCATGTGCAAAGCCCTCTAGACTGGTGTGCATGCTAGCAGCTGGTCTCCTATTAAAATCAGGGGTTTGAATGTGATTGAGCTTGGCACAAATTCAGTGATACATAAGATAGTTTAGAAATAAGAGGATTTAGGTAACTACATGGACCAGCTCCATAATACCTAAAAAGGTATTGTTTTTTATTGTTGACAATCCTATGAAGGTATTTTAAATGCTCATAAAAGTCATTTTACTCAAGAAGGATTGGGAAAAATAGAAGGCTGGGACTAGATATATCTATTGGGTCAAACAACTTCTCTATAAAAACAACAACAGGTAGTCATGGATTGTATGATATGTGAATAATATTTCACTAAAACTGACACCAAAAACAAAAACAGGTGGTGGCTAGCATATCCAAGTACAAATTTTCAAAGACT